AGGAGATTGGATTTATAACCTCCCCAGAAGGTGAAATCTTTCTTGCTCTTTTATAATGACCAAGGATTGCAGGAAAATCACTTATGAGGTAAAGTTTAAAAAACAAAGCAGCAACCCTAAATGCATTCTTCATACCTCAGGCTAATGCTTTTGTGCACAGGCTACATAGCTAGCCAGGGGTCCTTCATTACCCTGAAGGATGAAGCCGTGTCAGCTAGCTATGTCACGGCCGATTGTTCCTCCCTGACCCCCTTCAGCACTTTGTTGGCCAGAGCAAGGGCACAGTGGGCTAAGAGGGCAAAGGCAAAGCTATTACCTCCTGCTGCTGAATTTCTTTCTTTGTGAACACATTTCTCTCGCGGTTTGGAGTGCACATGTCTATAGCAGAGAACAGCATATTGGATACAAAAACAGCCTTCGTAACCCTATTGGTTGAGTCCCCCAGGCACTTCGCTGCTGTTTACCAAAAGTTTTGTACATGTACAGTGGGTGCTCACAATGCTACGAGTCCCTGTTTTCTTTTTCTTTTGGGGGTTTCTATAATGTAACCTGCTGGCACAATTCTTTTCCCTCCAAGTCATTTGTCTCCCTGAAGTGTCTGGCTGAATTTTTCTTGCATATGGTAGATAAAGGCTTCAATGTGGACAGTGGGTATCAGAGTTAAATAGGAGGGAAGCTGCTCTGTTTAACTGTTCTCAATGGTCCCAATCCAGCAAAGCACTTGCACTCCTGCTTAACTTTAAACATACCAACTTCGAGCATGTGAGTAGTTCCACTGAACTTAAGCACATGCTTTGTAACCAAATCTTTGAAAACCTATTTCAGCAGCACAAAAATGTGGTGACAAATATCTGAAAAACAACTGGATAGCACAAAAGGGTGTCTGAATGCCATGTAGTTGACATGGAGGGATGCGGGATCTTTCAAAAAATACTTTAAAATGGGTGTGATCATAGAATCATATCATAGAATATCAGGGTTGGAAGGGACCTCAGGAGGTCATCTAGTCCAACCCCCTGCTCAAAGCAGGACCAATTCCCAACTAAATCATCCCAGCCAGGGCTTTGTCAAGCCGGGCCTTAAAAACCTCCAAGGAAGGAGACTCCACCACCTCCCTAGGTAACGCAGTCCAGTGCTTCACCACCCTCCTAGTGAAATAGTGTTTCCTAATATCCAACCTAGACCTCCCCCACTGCAACTTGAGACCATTGCTCCTTGTTCTGTCATCTGCCACCCTTGAGAACAGCCGAGTTCCATCCTCTTTGGAACCCCCCTTCAAGTAGTTGAAGGCTGCTATCAAATCCCCCCTCATTCTTCTCTTCTGGAGACTAAACAATCCCAGTTCCCTCAGCCTCTCCTCATAAGTCATGCGCTCCAGACCCCTAATCATTTTTGTTGCCCTCCGCTGGACTCTTTCCAATTTTTCCACATCTTTCTTGTAGTGTGGGGCCCAAAACTGGACACAGTACTCCAGATGAGGCCTCACCAATGTCGAATAAAGGGGAACGATCACGTCCCTCGATCTGCTGGCAATGCCCCCTACTTATACAGCCCAAAATGCCGTTAGCCTTCTTGGCAACAAGAGCACACTGTTGACTCATATCCAGCTTCTCATCCACTGTGACCCCTAGATCCTTTTCTGCAGAACTGCTACCTAGCCATTCGGTCCCTAGTCTGTACCTGTGCATGGGATTCTTCCATCCTAAGTGCAGGACTCTGCACTTGTCCTTGTTGAACCTCATCAGGTTTCTTTTGGCCCAATCCTCTAATTTGTCTAGGTCCCTCTGTATCCGATCCCTACCCTCTAGTGTATCTACCACGCCTCCTAGTTTAGTGTCATCGGCAAACTTGCTGAGAGTGCAGTCCACACCATCCTCCAGATCATTAATAAAGATATTACTTTTGCATGATCGTAGGATTTTTTTGAAATAATGGACTTTCAGCATAGTGCCCTCGTTAAAAACAAACAAAACAACTTTCCCTGCCCTGCTTTTGAGCTGATGTTCTGCCGGGCTGCCCTCCCCTCGTTCACCCCAAATCTGGTAGGATGCCACCTGGCAGTCAGTAGGCATTTTTACTTTGAGGTAATAGTTTGTAAGGTGCTTTGGAATCCTGTGGAGGTAAAAGGTATTGTATATTAATGTAAAAGCCTATTGTTACTCTTAAAACCCTGTTCTCCATGCTGTGCTTTTATTTTCCCCTTTGACTGTTTTTTCGTTTGAACAGGTGAGATTGCTATAGAAGATGGGACGTTCTCTTGGTCTTCATTGGATTCTGTCTCAGAAGGTACTTACGTGCTGTCACTTAAGGAGATCTCTCTCCCTTAGTTACAGACAAAGAGCAGCTACTAGCAATCATGGAAGTTATGCACCTGCATATAAATGATTTTCAGCCCAGCCAATGTTCAGGCTGATGTCAGACTTCCTTGGTAAGATTAAGAATAATAACTAGGGCCCTACTAAATTCACGGTCCATTTTGGTCAATTTCATGGTCACAGGATTTTTAAAATCATACATTTCATTATTTTGGATATTTAAATCTGAAATTTCATGGGCGTTGTAATTGTAGGGGTCCTGACCCAAAAAGGAGTTGTGGGGGGTCATAAGGTTATTGTAGAGGGCGGTTGTGGTACTGCTACCCTTACTTCTGTGCTGCTGCTGGCAGGATGTTGCCTTCAGAGCTGGGCCCCTGCCAACAACCACTGTTCTCCAGCCACCCTGCTCTGAAGGCAGCACAGAAGTAAGGATGGCAATACCATGAACCCCCCTCAAAATAACCTTGTGACCAGGGCCATCCTTACCCTGATGCAAACTACGCAGCTGTGTGCTGCTCCAGCGGCCAGCCCAATCCCCCGGCCGGCTGAGCTGGCCAGGAAGGCTGCCCTGCCCCCACTCCATCCCTTCCCCATAGCCTCCGCCCCTGCCCTGCCTCTTCCCACCCCTGCTCTGCCCCAGCCCTGCCCCCGCTCCATCCCTTCCCCTGAGCTACGTCCGGGGGAACTGCAGCAGGGGTCGGGCGCAACCTGCACTCACTGGGCGGTGGGAAGTGAAGCGACCTGACCCCAACCTGCTCCGCTGGCTTGTGCTGGGGGGTGGTTTCCCCCTGCCCTCCAAGCCTGCTCCTGCCCCTACAGACCTTGGGCACAGCCCCCACCCCATGGAGGCCTGGGGCCAGCCTCCCCCCCCCATGGGCCGGGGGCTGCATAGGGCACCAAAATGTCTATGAACGGCCCTGCTTGTGACCCTCCCTCCCCCCCCGCAAGTTCCTTTGGGGTCAGGACACCAATTTGAGAAATGCTCGTCTCCCCCATGAAATCTGTATAGTATAGGGTAAAAGCACACAAAAGACCAGATTTCACAGAGGGAGACCAGATTTCACAGTCCGTGATGCGTTTTTCATGGCCCTAATAAATTATTGCAGCCTCTGTTCCAAACCACTCTGCTTCACTTGCACTAGCACTGGAGAAGAGAAAGGGGTCTGATTCAGGAGACAAGTGAAAGAATAATAAACTAAGTGCAGGCTGAAGGGATCAGGGCTGCTGCTAAATCAAGTCAAATTAAATCTTCCTTGAATAATATCGGTTTTCTTAATAATAATATAATAGCAAGCTCTTAGTGCCTTTTTCATATTATCAGTACATCTCAAAATGCTTTACAAAGGTAAGTATTTTACAGATGAGGAAACTGAAGCACAGAGAGGTGAAAGTGATTTGCTCAGTCACCCAGCAGGCCAGGGGCAGAGCCAGGAATATAAACCAGGTTTCCTGAATCCTAATCCAGTATTTTAGCAACTAGGCAACCCTGCCTCCCAATTTAACTGGGTATGGCTAGCTTGCTACAAAACCCTAAAACACGAAGTGGATTTTTTCCCCCCGGGTGTAGAAATATTTTATTGTTTAATGGGAAATGTTGCTTGGAAATTTAGTATTTTTGTTGGGCGGCATGTATTTCATGAAAGAATTTGAACCTATGGTTTTGACAAATTGTTGGGCTGGATTATTTCTTGACATCACTCCTCTGCCAGTGGGGAAAAAGGGACTAAATTTCAGTTGAAATGCAATGTCAGTAACTTTGCGCAGTATCAGTCTTACAAATAAAACAGTTTGGCAAAGCCACCAAAGTTAATTTCCTTAGTCTTGTAACAAGTATAATCCTATCTTTTTACTAGAATCTACATATTCATGAATATACTTCCTCGAATTTCCTGTTTCAAAATACTCCTTGTTGCTGTGTTTTTGATTAAAGAGACTAGACCTATTTCATTCTTGCTAGAAGTGAGAATAATATATCATCTTAATCTCTTCACTGGGATTAAAGAAAATGACTCTGAACAGCTACTCTGTAATCAGAGGAAATGTAACAATTCAGCCACATCTCCAGAGCAATAAATATTCAGGACATTTGTTTAAGCTGAAATGGTAAATTAAGGTTGTGCTCACAAAGTATAGTGATCGTAACACTGCAAGGATCTGAAAGAGCTTTATTAGCTTGTAAGGAAGATAATTAGTCTAAAATGTCATTGTTTATTAAATGTTAAGCAAAAATAAGCAATACATGGAATCCAGATTTTTGTGCTCCTGTTAATTGTGCTGTTCTGGGATTCAGCACAGGAATACACTTTACTTAACCTTTTTATTTCTTTTAAAGACACATTCCATTTGTGAAATCCTTTTGGTAATTTCTGGGTCACTGAAGCTATTCTAGTTAGTGCTCAGCACAGAAATCTGTTCTGAAGCTGGAAAACAAAACAGAATAACTCAATTTTCAATCTCTAGATCTCTTAGGTATTTGCCTGAGACATCTTTCTTAGGCAACCTTTCCTTCCTGCTTTTTCACCCAACCTTCAAGCCATAATCAAATCTCAGTAGTTAGGGTGACCAGATGTCCCGATTTTATAGAGACAGTCCCGATTTTTGGGTCTTTTTCTTATATAGGCTCCTATTACCCCCCATCCCTTGTCCCGATTTTTCACACTTGCTGTCTGGTCACCCTATCAGTAGTACATAAACTGCTTTATACACTTCGTTTAACTTTTGTGTGCAACAGATTTGAGTTCCTTGTTTATGCTTAGGTAGTGGGGTTTTTTGGTTCACATTATTAGTGGGGTCATAAAATCAGGCACTTGTATTTATCTAAAAAATGGTGTTTCATCACCATGATCAATCCCTTTCCCAAAATCCTCTCTTTTTCAACCTTTCCTTACAACTTAGACTAGTGGTATTTTGTCCTGCTGCATTGGCCAAACCAGTTAGAATATCTGTTCTGTTTTCAAAAGCCTGGTCGCCTCTGTGATTCACTGGGCTACAAATCTGCACAGATTAAAAATTACAATTGTGAAAGATTAGTTTTTATTTCATATGGGAGAGTGCTAGGTGAGCAGCTGAATCCACGGGTAACTACGTTATGGACATTTTAAAAATTACTAACATATTCATTAAAATGTGCATGGGATTGAAAACACTTGTGTATTCATTTGTTACCAATTAAAATGCTATTCATTGTCTATTAGAACATTACCTCTCTAGTATGATTTCTTTGGAATTCCTAGGAATATCCACAGCACTCCCATAAATGTTGCAATGTGTATTTTACCATTATTTATATTCTAAACAGAGCTGATTGGAAAGTTCAGTTACTTTACCGTAAATGCGTAAGATGTGAGTACATATTTTTTTATGCTTACTCCAGATTTCTAATGGGCTCATCTGATTAATTGGACTTAACTGAGGTTTTTGGTATTTCATTTTGAAAATGAAGCCAATTAATTTGGATCTGCATAAAACTTTATACAGTGGTCATCACTCCGTCAAGAGAGTGACCACAAACTCGGTAACTAACATTCAGTTGCAACCATAATTTAATATACTCCAATGACTGAACGTGAAAACAAGACTCATTCTCCGTAGCCATCATCTCAGCGATAGCATGTGATATACACAGGCATACATGTATCATTTTCCAAATACACCAAGGCAGTTTCCCTTCACATATCCAGTGTAGTTTGGGGCTCAGTTTCAAATCAGATTTGGTTAAGTATCAGGCATTTTCTAGCCAAACCGATGTAGCTGAATTAAGAACAGATCTGTTCTCTCAGACGGTGCTGGTAGCATGGTGTGTTCCTTGGGTGACAATCAGACAAGGCCTGATTCTTCAACCAGTCTGTAGAATAGTCCCTTCTGAGCTATTAATTTCTCTGGAGAATCAAATTCAGCAACCTGACCGTTTTCCAAGACTAAAATCCTGTGAATATTAAAAAAGAAATGTAAGCACTAAGATATACAACAGTCGCACTGAACTCAAACAATATCTAAACTATTATTAGAGCATGCCTCACTTCCACCCCTCTGAAGAGAGCTACTACTTATGAGATACTCCCTTGGAGAGACTAGGAATGCAGTAAATCTGGTCTTTAATTCTTTGGTTTAACTCCAAACCACCGAGTTGTATCCGAGCACGGGAGAGGAGCTCAAGTGAGTAGACATTCAGCAGTATCGATTCATCTGTGAGTGGACAAAAAAGGGCTATATAGAGCATGAAATGGACACAGATCTCACTTTCCCTCTGATTAACCCATGGTTAATGGTGAGAAGGCCCATCCTAAGGCAGAATCTTGAGTGGGGTAAACAAGAAATAGACAGAAATGAGACCTAAATGGTTCCAAGGAGATGTCACTCTAAAATGCTATGGGGTCTGTCCACTTTTATAAAGCCTGCCTCTGTCTTCTGCTGTCCCTGTGAAAATGAATGTGAACAAATACACCAATGAAAGGTTACCTGTCGTAATCTAGGATGGTGTTTATACGGTGAGCTATTGTTAACACGGTCCACTCTTTGAACTGAGTCCTTATGGTTGACTGAATCTGAAGATCAGTTTCCAGATCCACCGCTGCGGTGGCTTCATCTAGCACCAGGATTTGGGCTTTCCGCAGGAGTGCCCTGGCCAGACAAACTAGCTGCTTCTGACCAACACTGAAAGCAAGAAGGGCAGATGGTGAACAAACAGGTTGTCGCTTTTCCTTGAGTTTAATCAAAGAATCATAGAAGATTAGGGTTGGTGGCTAGTGCAACCCCCTGCTCAAAGCAATGATGAGTCTGAAAGCAGCACAGCAGCTGATGGCCTTTCCGGAGCGAGGCAGGGGTCTGGGAATGTTAGGAGTGCACCTGGTCTGGTTCTGGGGACAAGACCGAGGGGCCAGATGTGCAACACGTGTAGACACCATACTACCAGCACCATCTGAGAGAACAGATCTGTTCTTAATTCAGCTACCTGGTATCACTGCAGATAGCAGCATGAAGCAAGCCAAAGAAACGAGGGGATTATTTGTATTGCAGTAGCATACAGGAGCCCACGGTGATAGGTGCTGTACAAACACAGAACAGACTGCCCCTACCCCCAAGAAAGTTTATGATCTAAGCAATTCCACAGTGTTAAGGATTATACTGCTACAGCAAGTTTGCTCTGTGCTGACTATTGCTTTGTGCTTTACTAAATTAGATTTTTCTATTTAAATTTATTAACCTCATTTAGGAATGTTTACTAATTGTGCACCCTCTGACCCTCAGATACAATGTGCACTGCCTTTCTCTTTCTGCATTTATGGTACCTCAGGTTTTCCCCTCGCTCTGAGCACTCATGGTTCAATTGATCAGGCAGATCCAATACAAAGTTCTTGAGCTGAATCAGTTCCAAAACTGTCCAGATGGCTTCATCCGAGTACTGGTTTAAAGGATCGAGGTTCATTCGTAGAGAGCCAGCAAATAAAACTGGATCCTGAGTATAGAGACAGCACAAAAGATTCCTGAAATGATTGTTACAAAACAACATAGCTCCTTAACTTCCTTCCACTGCAGGAATCCCAGGGTGAAATGCTACAGACAGTGTTATGTGGAAGATCAGACAGTGTGGTAAAGTGGTTACTTTTCCCTTTTAAAAGCAATGAATTTACCTCTCTCTGTGACTCACTTAAGCCTTCCTGCGTGTCATGGACATTAATGGAAATACCCTGCAGAACTGATAAATGCCTTTAGAAATTAACTTCATACCTGGGGGATAACCGTTATTTTGGCTCTAAGGTCCTGGAGGCCTCTTTGGGCAATATTCACTCCATCAATTAAGATCTCGCCTTCTGCAGCTTCCATTAATCTCAAAAGCCCCATGGCAAGAGTTGATTTCCCAGCTCCTGTTCTTCCAGCTATGCCAATCTAAAAAAAATACAATGAAGGTTTAGGATGTATGTTTTACACCATTTGGCTCATAGCCATAGTTAAATTTTAGGACCATGGAATTGACAGGTAACAAACCACTGGTTAAATCTGTCCAGCCTTTGACCAGATCTGTCAGAGAAAAACACCCCATTAAGCACCTATTCCTGCAGTTCCACGCTCTGGATACAGGGGTGGTGCTGACACATGGACTTATAACTTTCCTTTGCATTTTCAACTACAAGCTGTTCTGCCTTCATCTGCTGCTCCCCTTGGGCCTCTTTGAAAGCCATCCAATATCTTTCACCAGTTTACAAAGTAAAGGCACTATTCCTCTGCTTTAATGGTGGAGAAGACAAGTGGCTCTGTGATTGACAAACAGCCTGTCCTATGCAGATCCTGGGTGCAATATCTGCCCGTCTTTCCTGTCGCAGGCCAGGGATTTAATTCCTTTTCACTGCAGCCTCCTGGAATAGCTGTTGAGGACTGGCATGAATTGGCATCACTTTTGGTTACAGTTTGGTGGTACACATGATCAGCCATGTGGATTCCAGCATAAATTTGATACATAGTCATTAGGACCAGGACACACATGACTTGAAGGGATCTGACCATTTCTCCAAGAACCTTTGGCCTCACGTTGTGAAAATATTCACCTAACATTCTTAGAGTTGGGTAACAACCCATAGGGAACTTTAAATTGTTTAATTACAGAGGGAAATCATTAAAAGCCTTAGATCAGGGGTCTCCAACTCAATTTACCTGCGGGCCAGTGCCAGTCCTCAAATCCTCCCAGCGGGCCAATAATGTCACTGAAGATGGTGTTCAGAAAAGAAAACGTTTATATTGTATTTTTTATTTTGAATTTCTTAGCAATAATAAAACTGTCATACAACTTTATACAATTCTTCGCCTGCCACAGAGTTTTTAGTGTTTGCCAGACACCTGGCAACGCTTCAGTTCTGTCAGTTTGTTGATGTTTGGCCTCCGTGATTGAGCAGTTGAAACCTTCAGGATTGCAGCAAGGTGTGCATCAGAGAGCTGTGTTCAGTATTTTGACTTGTTTTTATTCATTGTGGGAAAAAAGTGACACTGCCTCCATGGCTGACTCTGCCCGGCAACTAATAATGCTGACTCTGCCTGGCGACTAGTGATGGTATCGCTGTCCCTCTTCCCCAGCCAATGGGAGCTGCGGGGGTGGGGGGGTGGCACCTGCAGCAAACATTGCCAACAGCATAGCTGCATGAGTCTCTCCTCCGCAGGCCGCAGTGGGGAGGTTCTCGGGCCGCAGATGGCCTGTGGCCGGGACTTTGAGACCCCTGCCTTAGATGGAGAAAAACCAGAATAGCTGCCAAATATAAAGGAGCTTTGATGTTACATTAGATTAAAATAAATATCAAATTCCTTTAGAGCTGCTCTGCCAACTTCCTATAAAACAGGATCTGACTCGCTAGAATTCCTAACACACAGTATCAAAACTGAAAACAAAGCCATATATTAAGAAGGGGTTCCTCAGTGCAATAGGAGACTATGAAGGCCAAACGTACTGTGTGTTTACCTCGGTGTAGCTTTTGTCTTCAAGCCTTAAACTCTTTGACACAGGGATTGTTTTCAGTTTAGCAGCAGCTGCCTATTCTAAAGCACTGTTCACACTTGTAGCTCCAAAGAAATAAATGGCCTTGCTTACCTTCTCTTGCCCGTTTATTTTTATATTGATGTTCTTTAGTGCGAACTCTAAATTTGGCCTGTACTGCACACCATAGTTTCTAAATTCAATTGCTCCTTCAGTTGGCCAAGCCTGATTTGCAGAATTACTGCCCAGAGTCCAGGGAGCCTGTGTAAAAGAGAAACAAACAGCACCTTCTTAAGCTGGTTTAAGTCTTCAAGTAATATGGCTATAATCAAAATGGAAAACTTCTCAGAGCAAAAATTCTTTCTGGATCTCTCTCTTTAAAAGCTTCTTTAGAGGCAGCATTTATTCTTCATAAAGGAATTGTTGAAGTTGAAATTAATTTCTTAATAAAGTAATCTGGATCTTTGTATAAACTGAAGTTTGGGGATAAGCATTTGTATGCACGTCAGATTAATTACATTATCAGGAAACCATACTGACTGTTCTAACTGTTGGCTCTGCCACACTCAGTTCAATCTATGTTGAAGAGATAGTTCCTGTTCATTTTTAATGTTTATATAGCATAAAATAAATAAAAATGTTTATTGAGATTCTCAGTCATTAAAAGGCCAGCAACTGTCAACACTTATAACATCAGATCTGAGATGCCACAATTAGTCCCTATTCTAAGCATGGAGAAAACCTCACAGTGCATTCCATGGGTGTGGTAACTGTTAATAAATTATACTTTTTTAAAATGACAACTACAGCTTCATTGGTTTAAGGACATAAACTGAGCAGAGGTTATAAAGAACACCTAGTTATTTTAAAGTAACCTAACCGGGTCTCTGGGAATTAAAATAGGGAGGTGTTGATCCTTAGAATAGAAAAATTGCTGATCTGGTTTCTGACAAATTCCAGTTCAAAGGGTAAGAACAATGGTTAGCTAGTTACCTCTTTTGGAGTTTTTGAATACTCTCTCACTCTCTCCACGGAAACAATGTTGTTTTCTATTTCTGTCCAGGAGCGCACCATCCAGTTCAAAATGCCTGTTATCTACAAAAGGAGAGAGGACTGGCTAGAAATGAAATACCAACTTTGACCCTGTTCTTACAAAGTACTTTGCACTTTGTAGGATCAGGCCCAGTGTTTGCACAAGGGGCCTCCCTGGATAAGCTATTAAGAGATTGTCTGTAAATTGTTTTGCAAGACAAAATAAAATAAATCCTGCTGACACCAGACCTTTCTGGAAAATTTTGCCCAGGCCACATTGGAGGAGCCTTGCCAGCTCACCCTGAGGCTACCTCAGTGCCAATTTACCAAGAATTAGATGTTACTGCCTGTCTTATGTTAAACTTCCAGCTCTTAAAAGTGACGTGAAAACCGTTCAAGATAATCTGCGACTAGTCACATGAACATGGAAAATAAACACTGAAGAAAACCATTTGGCTGTTAAACTAAAGTGACCATTTAAGCTTAAATTCAAAGGAACAAGAGGGATGTTGCATGTATTTGAGACTTGTTCTCTGTAAGGTCCTATAGTCTATAAATAACAGTGACAGGGTTACTGAGGCTTAAAAAATAAGGGAGTCTATAAAAACTAGTTTAACGTCTGGAAAGGAATAAAAATATTTCCAAGCTTTTTTCAAAAGTCAATGGAAGCATCTTGTTTAAAATAATAAAAAATGCCCTTCCAGTATTTGCAACTCAAATGTTGCACAATTGTGCTGGTACTTGAGCCCTGGTCTACACTACGAGTTTAGGTCGAATTTAACAGCGTTAGGTCGATTTAACCCTGCACCCGTCCACACGACCAAGCCTGTTTTGTCGACTTAAAGGACTCTTAAAATCGATTTCTGTACTCCTCCCTGGCGAGGGCTTTAGCCCTAAAATCGATCTTGCTGGGTCAAATTTGGGGTAGTGTGGACGCAATTCGACAGTACTGGCCTCTGGAAGCTATCCCAGAGTGCTCCATTGTGACCGCTCTGGACAGCACTCAACTCAGATGCACTGGCCAGGTAGACAGGAAAGCCCCGGGAACTTTTGAATTTAATTTCCTGTTTGGCCAGGGTGGTGAGCTGATCGGCCCAGGTGACCATGCAGAACTCATCGGCACAGGTGACCATGGAATCCCAGAATCACAAAAGAGCTCCAGCATAGACTGAATGGGAGGTACTGGATCTCATCGCTGTATGGGGAGAAGAATCTGTGCAGGCAGAACGCCGTTCCAAAAGACGAAATGCCAATATATTTGCCAAAATCTCCAAGGGCATGATGGACAGAGGCTACAACAGGGACACACAGCAGTGCCGTGTGAAAGTTAAGGAGCTGAGGCAAGCCTACCAAAAAACAAAGGATGCAAACGGTCGCTCCGGGTCAGAGCCCCATACATGCCGGTTCTATGATGAGCTGCATGCAATTCTGAGGGTGGCCCCTACCAGTACTCCACCACTGTCCATGGACACCTGCAAGGGGGGAGTCTCACGCAACAGGGATGAGGAGTCTGAAGATGAGGAGGAGGTTGAGGATAGCGCACAGCAGGCAAGCGGAGAATCCCTTCTCCCCGGCAGCCAGGACCTGTTCATCACCCTGGAGCCAATACCCTCCCAACCCTCCCAAGGGAAGCTGGAGAAGGAACCTCTGGTGAGTGTACCTTTGTAAATATAATACAGGGTTTAAAAGCAAGTGTGTTTAATGATTAATTTACATGCCAAGCCAGTAGCAAGTAGTCTGGAATCATTGCAGAACAAAACCTTGCAGCGAATGGACCCAGGCTTTGGCTGTTTGCCTTTGGCTGAAAATAAATCATCCCCGCTCTTAGCCACGCGGCGGGGGGAGGCCTGTTCATGGCTGACCGGGATCTTCCCCGATACTAGCCACGCGGTGGAGGTGTGGGGGTGTGAAGCGATCATCCCAGAGAATTGGGGTGGGGTGGGGTTGGATTGTGCTGCACATTCACCCTAAAACCGCAGCCCCTCCTTTTAAATGGCCAACCCAACGGGCTTTTCTTGGTATGGGAAAGGAGGGCGCTGCTGTTTGAAACTGTTCCCACATGTTATGAAGGTTGAAGAAACCCTTTGCCTTACCATGGCTGCCTGCAAGCCGAATTCTGTTGCCCAGCCGAGCATGTGATGTCTCACACCAAACCGGCAGGCACTCAATATAAGAGGAAAAATGCGACCTGGTAGCAAAAGCACATGTGCTATGTAATGTGAATCACTTGATTCAGTGTGAAATAGTCTTCCCTTTGTTCTCTAAAATGTATCTTTTTAAATACTACTCTCCCTTTTTTTTTTCTCCCGCAGCTGCAAATGTTTCTACTCTCCCCCTATCATCTCCGTCCCATAGGCTAGCGCAGATTAGAAGGCGAAAAAAAACGCACTCGCGACGAGATGTTCTCAAAGCTCATGCAGTCCTCCTGCACTGAAAGAGCTCAGCAGAATGCGTGGAGGTAAACAATGGCAGAGTCCAGGAAAGCATTAAATGAACGCGATGAGAGGAGGGAGGAGCACGCTGAGAGGAGGCAGGATGCAATGCTGAGGCTAATCGGGGAGCAAACAGACATGCTCAGGCATCTGGTGGAGCTGCAGGAAAGCCAACAAGAGCACAGACTGCCGCTGCATCCACTGTACAACCCCCTGCCCTCCTCCCCAAGTTCCATATCCTCCTCACCCAGACGCCCAAGAACGTGGGTGGGGTGGGGGAGGGGAGACTCTGGACACCCAGCCACTCCACCCCAGAGCATTGCCCAAGCAACAGAAGGCTGGCATTCAATAAGTTTTGAACTGTAGTGTGGCTTTGTCTTTCCCTTCTCCCCTCATCCACCACCCCACCCAGTGCTTCCCTCCTCATCCACCCCTCCCGGGCTACCTTGCGAGTTTCCCCCCTATTTGTGTGATGAATTAATAAAGAATGCATGATTTTGAAACAATAATGACTTTATTGCCTCTGAAAGCGGTGATCGAAGGGGGAAGGTTGGTTAGCTTACAGGGAAGTAGAGTCAACCAAGGGGGCGGGTTTTCATCAAGGAGAAACAAAGAGACTGCCTGGCCAGTCATGAAACTGGTTTTCAAAGCTTCTCTGGTGCGCAGGGCGCCCAGCTGTGCTCTTCTAATCGCCCTGGTGTCTGATTGTGCATCATCGGCCGCCAGGCGATTTGCCTCAACCTCTCACCCCGCCATAAAGGTCTCCCCCTTACTCTCACAGATACTGTGGAGCACACAGCAAGCAGCAATAACAATGGGAATACTGGTTTTGCTGAGGTCTAACCTAGTCAGTAAACTGCACCAGCGAACTTTTAAACGTCCAAATGCACATTCTACCCCATTCTGCACTTGCTCAGCCTATAGTTGAAGTGCTCCTTACTACTGTCCAGGGTGCCTGTGTACGGCTTCATGAGCCATGGCATTAAATGGTAGGCTGGGACTCCAAGGATAACTATAGGCATTTCAACATCCCCAACGGTAATTTTCTGGTCTGGGAAGTAAGTTCCTTCCTGCAGCTGTTCAAACAGACCAGAGTTCCTGAAGATGCGAGTGTCATGCACCTTTCCCAGCCATTCCACGTTGATGTCGGTGAAACGTCCCTTGTGATCCACCAGTGCTTGCAGCACCATTGAAAAGTACCCTTTGCGGTTTACGTACTGGCTGCCAAGGTGGTCCAGTCCCAAGATAGGGATATGCGTTCTGTCTATCGCCCCTCCACAGTTAGGGAACCCCATTGCAGCAAAGCCATCCAGTATGACCTACACATTTCCCAGAGTCACTATCCTTGATAGCAGCAGCTCAGTGATTGCATTGGCTACTTGGATCACAGCAGCCCCCACAGTAGATTTACCCACTCCAAATTGATTCCCGACTGACCGGTAGCTGTCTGGTGTTGCAAGCTTCCAGAGGGCTATTGCCACTCGCTTCTCAACTGTGAGGGCTGTTCTCATCTTGGTATTCTTGTGCTTCAAGGCAGGGGAAAGCAAGTCACAAAGTTCTATGAAAGTGTCCTTATGCATGCGAAAGTTTCTCAGCCACTGGGCATCATCCCAGACCTGCAACACTATGCGGTCCCACCAGTCTGTGCTTGTTTCCTGGGCCCAGAATCGGCATTCCACAGCATGAACCTGCCCCATTACCACCATGATGTCCAAATTGCCAGGGCCCGTGGTTTGAGAGAAGTCTGTGTCCATGTCCTCATCACTATCGTGATCACGCTGTCGTGTCCTCCTCGCCTGCTTTTGCAGGTTCTGCACATACTGCAGGATAATGAACGAGGTGTTTACAATGCTCACAGCAGCAGCGGTGAGCTGAGCGGGCTCCATGTTTGCCGTGGTATGGCGTCTGCAGGAGAGCAGAGTTGCAGTGGAAGCGGTGGAGGACGACGGTTAGCACCGCACACATTTCCCAAGGAAGAACACACGTACCTGGGAGCCCATGACAGAAAACATGAAAAAATTCGCTATTGAGGCAACAGCAGCAGAGCAGAGTTGCAGCAGAAGCAGTGTATGATGATGGTTTGCAGACCTACTGCACCATCTGCTGCCAGCAGCACCCAGGACACAACAGTGGCGGTGTCGGTGAGCTGAGCGGGCTGCACACTTGCCGTGGTATGGCGTCTGCGCGGAAAAAAGGCGCAAAACGATTGTCTGCCGTTGCTTTCACGGAGGGAGGGGAGACTGACGACATGTACCCAAAACCACCCGCGACAGTGTTTTTGCCCCATCAGGCATTGGGAGCTTAACCCAGAATTCCAATGGGTGGCGGAGACTGCGGGAACTGTGGGATAGCTACCCACAGTGCACTGCTCTGTAAGTCGATGCTAGCAGTGGTAGTGAGGACGCACTTCGCCGACCTAATGCGCTTAGTGTGGAAATATGCAATCGACTGTATAAAATCGATTTCTAAAAATTGACTTCTATAAAATCGACCTAATTTCGTAGTGCAGACATACCCTGAGAGTTTGATATTACCTAGGAAATCTTAAAAATAGGAGATTGGCTAATCTATTCTCATTGTCCACGCTGAGAAATGTCCAACATAAACGGCACAACTAGTGGAAAGGAAATTAAAGTCTTTAAAATTCTTCCAGTTTTAATTCTCTAGAGCCTGATGCTTGCAATCTATGTGCTAATCAAATGAGTAAGGGCTGCAGGATTGGACCCATACAGGGCCGGCTCTGGCTTTTTCGCCGCCCCAGGCGGGGGGGGGGGGGGGCGGGGCCCCGGGGGGGGGGGCGGGGGGCCCCGGGGGGGGCTCAGCTCTCCCCCTCTGGCGGCCAGAGCGCCGGGGGCAGGGCAGCGAGCCCCGGCTGGGGCTCGGCTCTCCCCCCCCGGCGGCCAGAGCTCGCCGCTCTCCCCCCGGCGGCCGGGGGAGGGCGGCCAGATCGCCGGGGGGAGGGCGGCGAGCCCTGCTGTGGCCCCGCTCTCCCCGGCGGTCCCGCGCCATGCCGCCCCCCTCCAGGTGCCGCCCCAAGCACCAGCTTGGGTGCCTGGAGCCGGCCCTGGACCCATAGAGTTATTTGTGATACAGATAAGGATTTTAAAAAATGATCTGTAACCTGACAGTCCCTTCTGATGAGATGGTAAAATCATGCACTGCTGCTTTGAGTTACCTGAAGAGCACACGAAATGGAAAAGCCAACAATCCCTGGACTAAGATGTGTTTTGCTAAGCACAGCGAACAGGGCTGCAAACAACACGATACCATTACCTAGAAACTCTAGGTTTGTAGCAAGCCACCTGCAAGTAGAGAAGAGAGGATTTAGCCCACCTCCATTCTCTTTATGTTCTCGTTTCCTCTCAATTTCATATACTGCCTGCAACTATTTTTGTAAAATGTATTTGAAGCCTTCTCGGTAAAGGGTGTTAAATAAGGTCATTATGATCACAGGGTTGGCTTTTTACATAACCGCTAGCAAGCTTCTGGAATTGACAGCAGTGCTGGTCTGTAAATGGCCCATGCGCTGCGCCACGGCTCTTCCGCTGTAGCCTGAGTCTATCATTTCCACCAGGTGAGCAGCTTTGGTTCAGAGCCTGGAATTGTTGCTCTGAGCCTGGCACCAGCAATGAATGGCTCTTCCCTTGGCGTTAGTTCTGATGTAAGCTGGGTCTGAAGGAGTTCCCCTCTTCTCCCCCTTCCCCCACCCGACATCTAGTGATGCACTGCCGGGGGGGGGAGGGCGAGGGGAGGGAAGACTTCAGGAGCAGAGCATGTTTGCATAGACATGGAGCTGTTTTGCCAAAACGATCAATTTTGGCTGGTTTGGGTTACAAATCACTGTAGTATTCAAATGCAGGGATAATGAAATAATGTTATCCTTATTGTATGCGTAAAGGGCAGCAGAACTGTGCTTAGCATGCCCTGATTGAGGGGGTCACCCTAAACTGAACCTCTCTTGCTAAGCAGGGGGTAGGATACCAAATTCCAGTGATGAGTGGATGAGGACAAGTGTTCCTAACTGGTAGCGTGGACATTGCCTAAAGAGTCCTAGACACTTTTTGACCTTCCCTTCTCCAGCTTTTAATGACAGAGCTGCTTAGACTCAATTAAGAGTCCTTGTTTCCAGGTGGTGATTCCTAAAGCTTGTCCTCACTGCTGAGCAAGTCTAAGGCTAAGCCCTGGACCTTGTGTGGGAACAGGTAAAGGCAATACAGAAACTGCTTGGCAGTGATGTTCTCTGCTACCTGCTGAAATCACTGAGAGCTGGGTGAAGTGGTAGAACCTCAGAATGTGACATTGCAGAAGCTCAGCAGTGCCGAGACACCAGACAGTGGGAGTGGTGGGACAGTGGGAGTGGTGGCAGAGAGACAGCGGTAGCAGTGGGATGCGATTAGCAGCAGTAGAGAGTGAACCCCACCCCCTCACGAATGCACCTCTGAACCCTGGGTATTCGCTAACCAAAGACCACCAACTGTGAGTGGGGCGCTGGGGAGGGAAAGGGAGTGGTGTGTTAAGGGACATTTGTTTGTTGGACTTTGTGACAGTATCTGACTAAAATATGACCATGCAAAATCATGGCTGCTACTACTGTTATATAATTGCAACAGATCTTATACCAAGTGTGACACGTGGCCAGAAAGGATTAAGCAGCTTGCAGGATAAATGGCCCAAAGTCAACCATTAGAGACGTGTTAAAAAAGTATGTGAAAGGTAATTAGGGCCACTACATGTTAGATAGGCTAGAACTTTGAAATGCAAACTTGTATTGTCAGAGAATGGAGGTGATACGAAATGTATGTGTGTACTTTTTTCTTGTAGGATGTTCCTGTCTGTCACTATAGCTATTGATTCAGAGATCAAAAGGACATATTAACTGTGACAAAGTTCCTCCTCTATCTTGGTGGGTCCTGCACTTATTGGCGGATTTTCTTGCCTCAGAGATTCACCATGTGGGTTGGGGAACAGCCCAGAGACCTTCCCCTCTGGAAGAACCCACAGTCCAGGTCAATTGGGAGGTTTGGGGGGAACCCAGGCCCGCCCTCTACTCCGGGTTCCAGCCCAGGGCCCTGTGGACTGCAGCTGTCTATAGTGCCTCCTGTAACAGCTGCATGACAGCTACAACTCCCTGGGCTACTTCCCCATGGCCTCCTCCAAACACCTTCCTTATTCTCACCACAGGACCTTCCTCCTGGTGTCTGATAACGCTCCTCAGTCTTCCAGCAGCACACCCTCTCACTCTCAGCTCCTTGCGCCTCTCACTCTCAGCTCCTCGCGCCTCTCACTCTCAGCTCCTCGCACTCCCACCACAAACTGAAGTGAGCTCCTTTTTAAAACCCAGGTGCCCTGATTAGCCTGCCTTAATTGATTCTAGCAACTTCTTAATTGGCTCCAGGTGTCCTAATTAGCCTGCCTGCCTTAACTGGTTCTGGCAGGTTTCTGATTACTCTAGTGCAGCCCCTGCTCTGGTCACTCAGGGAACAGAAAACTACTCATCCAGTGACCAGTATATTTGCCCTCTACCAGACTCCTGTACCCCACTGGTCTGGGTCTGTCACATAATATTTAAATGAACTGTAAACATAGTAACATCACTGTATTCATCTCTCTTTGAAATATATAGCAAATAATCTGCGAATGGTGGAAAAATGGGCAATTGCCTTATGTTAAGCTGTGTAGCTAATTAGCGGCAATGTTTAAGAAATCAGGTCTACTTCAAAATCTCCATGAGTGCCTATTGTTCGCCGAAGGACTCTGACCTGTCAAAGAAGGCTGGAAACCGTATAAAGATGCTTTGGGTCCCAATCCTTTGGATCTCAGATCTGCTTGATGCTTCATGCAGGGGAAGTTTAAACCCAAGATTGAGATCTCCAGTCCTAATCTGGAATCATCCTGAATATGAACATTGGACTACAACCTATGGACCATTTCTGAAAGAACTCTTTGCAACTACAAAGTTCACCATCTCTGCTATGAATTTAATCTCAAGAACTGTACTCATGTCTGTATGTATACTGATCTTTTAACCACTACTCTCTTTTCTTTTAATAAATTTTGGTTTAGTTAATAAGAATTGGCTGTAAGCGTGTATTTGGGTAAGATCCGGAATATTCATTAACCTGGGAGGTAATGTGTCCAATCCTTTGGGATTGATAGAATTTTTTATATGATGAATAAGATTTTCAGTAATCCTCATCATATTTGATTTGGGTGTCTGGGTGGAGGCCTACAGCTGGGGTGCTTTAAGGGAACTGTGTTGTTGGCTTCTGGGTAACCAGCGAGGTATTATAGAAGTTGTTTTGTGCTGGGTTGGTGAATCAAAGCATTGGAATATCCACCAGCTTTGGGGATTGTCTGCCCCATTCTTTTGCTGTTCATCCTAATTGAGTGACCTCAGTTGTCTCCCCTGGGACTCGGGTCACAGACTTTCACACCACAAGGGGAGAAACTGAGGCAAAGGATGCTGCCCAACACCCTGTGGGGTGAGTGTTTGCGTATGGTCACATGCTTTTGTATTTAGGTTGTGGTGTTTTCCCAAATTAATGTTGGACCCTCTTTTCCCTTTTAATCAAAGTTGTATTTGGTTGTACACGGACTCAATGCTGGCGAGAAGGGAAGTACTGCCACTTAGAGGCACCAAGTGGGGGAGGTGTTTAGCTTTCCCAGATTACTGAATGGGGACTCAAGCTGGTTCTATTGTCTTTTGTTAAGAGAAACCCTTAGATACTGAACCCAGCCCTCGTTGCTGCCGACTCCACCTGGCAGAAGGGTTGCACTAATCTATAGCTTCATGAGAATAACATGATTGTATCCCCTATATTTGCAGCTCCATACCTGTCAGCGACGACCCCAGGGAAGCATGTTCTCTGGTTCTCATCCACTCTGGAATCATTCTGTAAAATAAATCTCGGTTGCTCCTTGTAAGCACGAATCACGCTGCTCCCTTGGAAAGTCTCTGAAATGTGGGAATAGATGGGCGAGCGACTCGCAGCTTCCAGGCGTCTCAGCTGGCAGGAGGTGGCAACGTAGAAGTTCTGAGACAGAGGGAAATGGAAAGGGTATGTGATTACCACTATGTTCCCCCCACTAGGCTAATTCATCAGGGGAAATGATCATGTTCAGAAAATTAGAAATGATGCAAAAAAATACAGCAGTGCACATTAACCTCATGTTATACAACCAAATGTGCAGGCAGAATGTGTTTATTGGATGAGATACTGTGGCATAGAACTTGTAGCCTGGGTGAGGTATAAGGAGGCCTTTGAGTCCTTGGGGGCATTGTCTAAATTCTGGCAGCCTCTCCAGGTTGCCCTATGGGCTGCAGCATTACCTGGAATCTCCACAGTGCTACATGCTGCAATCCCATCCCTGGCATGCCAGAATTTGTGAAAGAGTCCTTGGAGAGCAGCTATAGGGCTGTGCTCCACATACCTGCATCGGGGGAATCTCTGGGTCCTAAAAGCCCTGGTTCTGGCTGTTTTAAGCGGGAGCAGGGAGCAGGATCTCACCCATCATTTCTATACTTCCTCCATTTTAAAATCTCTCCTGATCTCTTAAACTTTGCCTCTAGTTCAAGACAGTAGATTAGCAACCTACAGTTTAGCAACGTATTCACCCAATACAACAAGCTAGGCCCGAGAGCAGGGTGTCTTGCTGCAGACTGAGTGTGCCAGGACAAGCAGAGTTCTCCAGAAAGAACAGAGTCTGTTGAAGTGGTGCATAGTGCTGTGATGGGCCAGATGATTTCCTGCCCTATTTCATTATGTCCTGGGTCACGGGTACACCGATCACAGAATTCCATGGCGTGAATGGAATTGCAGAGTTGTACTGACTGCTTCAATCACATCCTTCCATGCTCAGATGGGATTTCATGAAGAATCCCTTCTTGTTTACCTGCCTTATTCACTAAAGTAGCAAAGCAGACTGATCTTAATTTTCTGTAACAAGTAAAAGTACTGTACTCAAGACTTTTGATATTCCCCCGGCCATCCCCCTCCTCTGCCCCCAGTCCTCCCTGGCAAAGTTATTTGACATTTCAGAGAACCAGAATGGGAGAATAAATGGGTGCATTGAAAAGCATCTGCCTCTCTGGCACACGTTTTATGTTAAAGGTGGCACAGGAAGACTGGAGAAGAGGAAAAACACTTCGGGCCTTAGTCTGATCTACGTTACACTGATGTCAATCAGGAATCTCCACAGAAGTTCCACCTAAAACCATCATGATATCTCAGGCCTTCTAGTAAGGCTTCGGAGGCAGCTACTGAGAGCCTGGATTCTGTGGGAAGACTCTTCTTAAGATTAGACACTGGTGGTTTTGATTCCGGCATGAAATCAGAGGTGAAAAAACAGTGACTGAAAATCTCAGCCCCTCAAAAAGGTCTGGTTCAGGTTACTCTAAACAATGGGAGCAGGTTCCTGTAGGAAAGGGTGTGGCGGGTTCTTAGATCAGCCACGTATCTCAAAATCCTACCTGGAACACGGCATACAGCACTGTCAGTGGCATTATCGCCACCACCGCTATTGGCGTGGCCACTATAACAACTATGTAGATCTCCAGTAAACTGAACAAGAATCCCAGTAGGGACTTCAGTTTATCGGGGATAATGGAATCAATGGCATCGGTTTCTTTGGAGAATCGGTTCAGCAAGTTTCCGATGGGCGTCTGCTCAAAGAACATCATTGGGGATCTGGCAACGTTCTCCAGTAACTGCTGAAAGAGCTTGTGTGATGCAATCACTCCTCCTAGCAGGACGGCTGCGGTCGATCCGAATTTGCCAATGGCTGCAATGGAAGGGAAGAGAAGTCACACAACCTAGACTCAGATTTCTCAGCTGAAAGCACGTTAAGGGGAGTTTTTCTTGAATGTGACTTTGGTGCTGGTGAAAGGTGCTGGTCTATTATTATTGCTATTTTTTTATTTATATTGAGTTGGTGCCTTGGAGCCCCAGTCATGAACCAGGAGTTCATTGTGCTCATCACTGTGCAAACGCAGAACAAAAAGTCAATCCCTGCACCAAGCAGTTTACAGTCTAACAGTCACCCCAGAGCCCATTGTATGGCTATTGGATCTGCAGAATAGCCATAGAATGGGCATCAGCACGTGTAAATTTAATTGAACAGTTAGTTCTGTCTCCTACCAAACAGCCCTGAAGATAGAAGCCCTCTGTTCAGTGAATGGTGCAAATAACTGGGATTACTCTGAATTAAATTAACTCTCTTGAGTCGGGTAGACTCCCATGTACCAGTTAGATTCACTATTCCAGCAGGGACTGTGCTATAGTTAAGGTTGCCTAACAGCTTCTATTCTAATCCCCTGTTTTAACTGGTTCAAAACTTTCACCATTTGGGCTTACGCTTTTCAGATTTTGTTTCTGCCCTAAACTTATTTTTTGTTGTTGAAAGTTTCAGCAAAACATTTGAGCTATTTTTGATTAGGAGAAGAGTTAAACAATGTACACCTTTCAAATAATACACATTTTGGCAGCCTTTTTCTAACAGCTTTTTAGATCCAAAAGGCCTAGGGTGGTAAAAAGATTAAATCTGGCCTTCATTGAGAAGTGAGATTTTAATTTGGCTAAATTAGGATTTGGGGAAGAGAGGATGGGAAGGGGGTATGAGGAAGAGAGGGGAGGGGAATAAAGAGGGAGTAGTAAATAAAATTGGGAGAGATGGAAAAGTGAAACTGACATCATAATCTCCCCCAACATGTGAATTTTTCATGGGTACCAGATCATACAGTTCTGACAAAGAGAGGCAAGGTGGCTAAAGATGTGGGAACCACCCATCATGCTCAGTTGCAATGCACACTAGAGAGAAGAACTCAATGCACACACAAGCAAGCCAGAGTTTTATGCAGTGACACTGGGAATATTGTTCAGATACCGTAACCAAAAAAACCCACCAAAAAAATCAGTGCACCCTGTACAAATGTGCGTCAGAACTTGTTTTTTTAGGTCCTGTGCCAAGCCTTTTAGTTTGTTGCCAAGAGCCCGGCAGACTAGCACCGCTAGGACATGCCAAAGTTTGTATGATGGGAAAATTTCCTGGGAATGGGAAAGAGGGAGGCAAATGATATGCAGAAGAATTAGGTGACCGGGTCAAGCAAACCTTGAAGGACTCCAAGAACACCGAAGACTCCAACTCGCAGCTCTGTGTGCTGCTGCGTTCTGTTATGAACAGGGTCATCTGCCCACATGCTGAGCCAGTAACCGCGACAAAACGAGGCAGCTTGCTGACACACAAACAAGAACACAATGTACAAACAGATCAGAGGCCCTGTGGTCCTCAGGTAGTCCAGATAAATGGAAATATTGACCTGGAGTGAAGCAATCAAAAAGAAGGAGGGAAAGAAGGGTCAGGCTTGTTAAGCTGTCTGTTCCTAAGTGAAGGAATGCTGTATGGTGTATGTTCTCTGTTACGCATCGCATGCCATGACAGCCTCATTCATCTCTTTGTCCTATCAGTGCAGGATGAATAATTTGAAGCCATGTTGACCAAGCTCAAGGCTTTAACCAGTGATTGCAAACAATGTACAAATGCTTATTGGGTTGAAAGTGTCATTATTTGCAGTAATGAATTTTACTATCCCTTTGAGTGATATTATGATCCACTTTATTCCCATTGGTAAGTGATTACTTGACAAGACCCATTAACTACGCATGTGAGTAACTGATCACCAGCAGGAGTGCAGGGATCGCCATCTGGCCCTTAAGGTGAAAGCAACATCATTTGAATGTGCTTCCCTTGGACACAACTCTCCTTAAGCTCCCCACCCCCATACCGCTTTGGGACTTAAACCTCCCATTTGCCTTTTGCTCTGTAACTGAGTTTACACCTTTGACCCTGACTATTTTTTTCCCTCCCACATCTCCTAAGTCTCCTCATCATCACCCCCACCTGGCCTGAGTATACTGCGCTCTGGACTCCCCTTCTGCTGAAATCCTCATCCATGCAGGGCCGGCTCTGGCTTTTTCGCCGCCCCAGGCGAAAAAGCCTCCGGCCGCCCCCCCTCCCCGTGGGGGGGGGGGGGGGCGGGGGCCCCGGGGGGGGGGCCGCGAGCCCCAGCGGGGGCTCGGCTCTCCCCCCAGCGGCCAGAGCGCCGGGGGCAGGGCGGCGAGCCCCGGTGGGGGCTCGGCTCTTCCTCCCCCCCCCCGGCGGCCAGAGCGCCGGGGGCAGGGCGCCGGGGGGGAGGGCGGCCGGAGCCCTGGGGGGAGGGCGGCGAGCCCTGCTGTGGCCCCGCTCTCCCCGGCGGCCGGAGCCCGCGCCGCCCCTCTCCAGGTGCCGCCCCAAGCACCAGCTTGGGTGCCTGGTGCCTGGAGCCGGCCCTGCATCCTCTCATCTGGGTTAACGCACATCCCCTGCTCTTGACCTCCACAAGCCCCATCTCTGCCTTCACCCGCAGCCATGGAAGAGTAACAACAGCACTTCTAACCATACATTTCAGGACATGGTTAAGCTGTCTTCCATGAACCTTATCTGACCTTATGTGTCTCCTGTCACTTGTCTCACTTGTCCCTTCACACCACTTCCCCCCGGTTGACTCACTTGTCCCTTCACACCACTTCCCCCCGGTTGACTCAAAAGACTTTCCTTCTGCAGCACAAGCCATTTGAAACAGTCTTGTATCTCTCCACCCATCATAATGGAAAGACTTTCCTCTTCATCTCTACAATTTTCTCTCCCTCTGTTGCTGTTTTATTCTAATTTTCTAGCTACACTTTAGCTCTATAAAGCATTTTGGGAACACGGTTGGTATGAAAGATGCTACACAAAATAAGGTTGAATAGGACCAGACCTTCAACTGGTGCAAATTAGTGTCACTCTGACTTGCACGGTGTTATGCTGATTTACACCAGCTAAGTTCCTGTTGCAATGACAGGTTTATTTTATATTTCATTACTCTAATAAGGAATTGCTGCAGTTACCCTGCTGGTTTGAACTTTCTCCCCTTCTGTTAATCTTCCCGCATCTTTTGGGGCTGTAGCAGCTGTGCAGTCTTGATTTATGGCTTTGGCTCCATCTCTCATAATAGAAGATCTGTTGATTTATAAAAGCAAAACAAACACCATTATTTTTTATCCAAGACCATGACGTTTTTAAGCATTACTAAGAGGGCTGTGGTTTCTGTGGTTCCTGGAATTACTCCGAGCATTCCCCGCATTCAGGGCACACCTCCAGCAATGTGAATCCGGAACAGATTGGTGATGAACAAAACTTCTTCACATCCAACTGCGGACTGGATGAAATGTTTGGTCTCGGTCTGTTTCCCAGTGGCAGATGTTCACATTCCCCAAACTGGCAACTATTATGGAGTCTCAGCAGAGAGGCCACGGATTAAATGGGTACAGAGACTGAAATATCCTCTCACGCAGGGAGGTGGCACATTGACAGACAGAGAAGCTTGCAGTTCTGCTGCCAGTGCTTTTACTGTTCTGAGGCTAATCCACAAGACTTCAGCCTTTAATGCTGTCAATCCAGCACCATCCAAAAGCAATGATGGTTCAGTTAACTATGTGATGCACCACACAAGTGAGGGCTAATAACCTTGAGGAATCAAATATTTAAGCAAACTTTACTAATAACAGTTCACTTGTTAACGGGTCTGAACCTGCCTCCTATGGGAGCTGTCTGTCAGTTACTGTGATTGACAACCCATTATGGCTTCAGTCCAAAATGTCTACTCCTTGTTTACTTTGCCATCTCTTACCCATTGTCCCTCTGGCCTGACAGGATTGCTTACCTCCCTTTAACTGCTACTGGTTGATCTGTGGTTTTAATACAAGAGGAGTGTCTCTATCAACCTCATGCCTAGCATCTGAACTCTGGGGAGGAAACTTACAGCTCCTTGGGAAGTATAGAGAAAATATTATTAAAAGTACTCCTAGGTGGTGGTGCCTGTTCACAGCCATGCATTCCATCCATGTGCACATCCTATTCATTTACAGCCCGGTCCAAACCCCACTGAACTCAGTAGGAATCTTTCCATTGACTGGAATGGGCTTTGGAGCAGGCGCTTGTGCTTTGGGTGTCTGAGGCAGGTCTACACTCACCTGCAGAGCTTTCCTGGGGACACAGCATTTCTGGAAGCGATGATGTCCTTGGTGCTTCCTGCAGCTGTGGGAATAAATATTCTTGTAATACCTTACATCCTCCTTTGTTCTGTTTAGCCTCGGAGAGAACGAGGGATCATTGGAAAGAACTCCGATAAAGGTAAGTGTTTGTGGGTCACCTCAGCAAAGCTGCAGTGATGGCACAGGCATTGAATAATGTGTGTTAATAGCATTATCCTTGCCTAATAAGATGGTACCTTTCATGCATTGTGCATACATAGCCCCATTTAGTGGGATGCATCACAGTATGGGATCTCATGGGAAAATGCCTGAGATTTCATGAATAGAAAAAAGCTAATGATTATTGATCGGCTCTTCCTGATCTGTTCTTTCATTTGCTCTTCCACTGTGTGAACAGCAGTGGATCCCCACTGAGACAACATTCATTAATCAGAAAACACATGAATCATGAAACCAAAAAGAGAGTTATTCAGCTGGTGTACCTTGTAAATCACCCTCTTTCTCTTCTGCATTGTTATATGAATGGAGAAAGTCTGCAAAAGCCCCGTTTCTCTGTAAAAGTTCTTGGTAGGAGCCAGTTTCGGAAATCTCTCCATCCACCATCAGAACAATATTGTCCACTTGGGGCAAAATGTTGATTGCATGAGTCACCAGAACACGAGTCTACTTTAAATAAATAAATACCAGTTATAATTGCTCCAGCCTTCTGCTGCCCTGCGCAGCCTCTTCTGTCTACTGAAGGGACTGCACAGGTGAACGCCTCCGGCAGTGCGATTGATCTAGTCAGTTTCACCATTCATGTTACCACCAAGGCTGAACCTCTCAGCTTGGATGGCATTCCTCGGATTCTATGTCAGATTTATTGTCACTAACTTGAACGTCTTAGAGCCAAATTCATCCCTTCTGCAACTCCATTAACTTCAGTGAAGTTACACTTGGTACGAAGTTGCCCTTTGATTTGAAAGTCCAAGGATATTTCCACACAATTGTATGTGGGAAGAAAGTCAGTAAAGCTTTTTCAAAATAAGACTTGAGCATGTCTCTATTTCTAATATACAATCAAACTAATATACAATACAAGGGGGAAGGGATAGCTCAGTGGTTTGAGCATTGGTCTGCTAAACCCAGGGTTGTGAGTTCAATCCTTGAGGGGGCCACTTAGGGATCTGGGACAAAATCAGTACTTGGTCCTGCTAGTGAAGGCAGGGGGCTGGACTTGATGACCTTTCAAGGTCCCTTCCAGTTCTAGGAGATGGGATATCTCCATTTAAAAACTCTTTGCAAGTGCTGATTAAGCCTAAAGTCAGTTCTGTGTGTCTCTTTCATAATTTCAATCTCACAATCTAATTGTGAATACAAATTTGACGTCTGTAAGCACTGATTGCTTGTTTTAATGTAGCCTTTTACTGAACTCTTACCCATACATCTTACACTAACTGGACTAATAATCAGCACTTCCAGAATCCATTCTACTTACACATTCATGTTGGACTTTAATCTTGGTTTTGTCAGAATGCTCTGCTCCATCCTTGTCCAATTAAAAAAGCGTGCCAACTAACAAAGTGCAGGCACTTAGAACTTACATGCTAACAAAACAAAGCCCATGCCACAGCATAGATTGCGAAACTACCATACAGCCGACCAATTCTCCACTCTACTGCACTGAGAGGTGATGCTCAGATTGTTTCTGACAAGAATAAGGACTGCAAAGAGCACCCTTCAGGAAGAAGAAAGTGAAGAGAAACACTTGGGATAGATATTAGGACAAAGTTTTTAACGCCACGAGGTGCCGTCGCTGCAGATATTCAACAAGGGCATAGAGCAGACCAATACAATGTAGTGATTATTCCTACCAAAGGCAGGCATTGAAAGAGGCTGGATGACCAAAACTATTTTTTTCGTGTATTATTTATGATGGGGGATATGAATTTGTTTACGTACCCTGTCCTTCAGTAAGCCATTGGGTCCAATGACATGTTCAAAAATATGCTGTCCAACCTGGGCATCCACGGCTGAAAGGGGGTCATCCAGCAGGTAAACAGCTGCCTTCTTGTACACCGCACGAGCTAGACTCACTCTTTGTTTCTGCCCTCCAGATATGTTTATCCCCTGTTGAAATACAATGATGTATTTCATATGCTCTGGTATGTGTTTTGACCCTTTTCACTATTTTACACTGAGACTTAACGAGTTTAATGGCACTTTATACATGTGCTGTATAAAGTTTCACGTAGCCTTATACCTTCTTCATCCCAGAAGTGCTTTCATTACTAAAGGCAGAATCAGTCAATCAATTTCTGCAGCCGTGCGGGAGGGGACCCTATAACAGCTTGGAGTTATTGATTTTGGCCTACGTTTTCAACCATTTCTCCTAGTTTGAGGTGCCTCAATTTTCAGGTGGCCAGTCTGACACCTTTAAATTAGAGCCTGATTTTTCAGCAAGCACTGAGCACCTGCCCTCTCCCTTTAAGGTGTTTCAAGCTGGGCACCCACAGTCACTGGGCACGCATGGAAAGCTTGGCGGGGGATAGTAACTGGTCAAATACCTTCTCTCCTATTTCACTTTTACTTCCTGCAGGGAAGCTCTCCAGGTCTGGCTGCAGTGCACAAGCATCAATCACTCTGTTATACCAGCATTCATCCATCTCTTCTCCAAAGATGATATTCTCTTCCACGGAAGCATTTTGTATCCAGTCTTGCTGGGGGACATAAGCTACTGTGCCCTATAAAATGGAAATGGGTGAAATCACTAATGCATTTGTCTCTTTCATAAGCCTCTCAGAGGCCAAAAAAAAAAAAAAAAAAAAAGTATTCTATAGAGGAGAAATCTGGTGTTTTACAATCGCCTCCCTAGATTTACCTTACTGCCATTGTGTAATGCAAAAATATGAGAGCCCAAGCACTAACAATAAGTGGCTCTTATAGAGTGCTATTTCCCCATAGGTCTCAAAGCACTTCATAAAGTAAGGAAAGCGTCATTAGCCCCATTTTACAGATGGGAACACTGAGACACAGAAAGGTGAAATGACTCGCCCAATTTGTCACAGAAGGTCAGTGCAAGAGCAGAGAATAGAACCCAGCCCTCCCAGTCCCAGGTCATTGCCCAAGTCACTGGAGCAAGATGGGAGGCAAACTTGCAGCCAGCCCAGGGCTCCTTGCTGCCCCTCCTCCCTCAACGTTTGGCAGAAGATGGGTTTTCACCAAATATCAGCGACTCCATGTGCAACTTTGTCAGCATGGTAACTGCTCATAAGTGCTAATCGAAAGCAAACACCCAGGGAGAGCTTTACCTTAATAGCCACGTAACCATCCAACTTCTGCAGCTCACCAAGTAACGCAGACAGCAGGGAAGACTTTCCAGCTCCCACCTGGCCAACCACAACAAGTAGGCAGCCTTGGGGCACGGTTAGATTTATCCTGCAAAAAGAGAGTCCCGTGTCTCCCCAGATTAGTGCCGTCAGTACCTTTTAGATGCAGCATTTGCAAGGGAAACTAGCAACGTTTTTGCTATTGTCTCTTAGGGTACGTCTACACTTACCGGAGGGTCCGGCGGCAGGCAATCGATGTTCTGGGATCGATCCCGGAAGTGCTCGCCGTCGACGCCGGTACTCCAGCTCGGCGAGAGGAGTACGCAGCATCGACGGGGGAGCCTCCCTGCCGCGTCTGGACCCGCGGTAAGTTCGGACTAAGGTACTTTGAATTCAGCTACGTTATTAACGTAGCTGAATTTGCGTACCTTAGTCCGAAGTGGGGGGTTAGTGGGGACCAGGCCTTAAAGAGAGAAGAAAAAAGTTGCTTCCCTTTCCTTCTGTCAGTTGTCAGGCCCCGTTATATGGGACAAACTATCTCCTTCTGCCACACTAACTTTCCTGACAGCTCCAAACTCATCTCATCAAAGCTGTCTCTGGCCAGGATGCCATTGTCCCATTCTGCTCACTGTTGCTTTTTATCATCTAGAGATGGGCTCTTCTAAACAAAACCCCAGATCTAACCCCTGTTTGAGGCTATTTGAAATCTAGATCTAAATGTTGAAACAGGCCCATCTATTTGTGTAAACCAAAGTCGTCGTCGTCGTCGTCGTCGTCGTCATCATCATCATGTTCCCATTACACCTCTGGCGTTTAGGGCAGCGACGAAGCTCCTCCACTCCTGTCTGTTTCTGGCAAGTCTTTCAATGGCTCCCCAGCTGCGCCCCAGGTTTTTCAGCTCAGCCAAAGTACTGGATCTTAATAGCCTTGCACTTTGGCATGCTCAGAATCAGGATTCAGATCCAAATTTGTGACTTGAGCCCATCTCAGGTACTGTCAGCTTCCTACACCCCCCCTTCTTCCACTGCATACGCTTAACTTTTTGTTATTGCATTTTATAATATTATCCGTTTCTGGAACTGCTGTGCATTGCGAGGTCACAAGAATGGACCTCGCATATGGAATGGCATAAAATGGCTTGCACTGTAAAGGAAAGACATATGACTGTTCCAGTTTTCAAAGGAAGCTATCTTACTAAAGAGACAAGATGGGTGAGGCAATATGACCAACTTCTGTTGGTGAGAGAGAGAAAAACTTTTGAGCCACATGAAGCTCTTCTTCAGGTCTGGGAAATGTACTCCGAGTTTCGCAGCCAAATGCCAGGTGGAACAGATTGTTTAGCATGTTGTCTTATTAAGACACCCGAAGCTCATATTTGGACAAGTGGGTGGTTGGGCTGATAACTGCCAGTTTGACAAACCAATATGCCTAATTGAGAATCTACTATAGAGTTGGAACATCCTATTAGTGTGTCCACATTTGGACTGGACACAGGTACAGTAAATGTCCTGCATGGTTTGATTTTGCAATTTAAGCTGAACTATGTTTAGAAAAACAAAATGTAGGAAATTTAGATCAGAAATCCCTCTAACTATCCTGTACTGACCTCGTTGGATTCACTCTGCAGGACTGTTGATCAGCACTGGAGGTGATCACTGAATCGCTGGAAATATTTATATGAAATAAAAGCCTGTACCTTTTAATGCAAGGAGAGCTTCCTCTGCACCAACTGAATGTTCCATTTCTTACGGTGATACCATTCTGTACTAACATATAAAGAGACATGAAAGGCATACATGGGTATTTAGAGAGGTACATAAATGTACTTGTTTCTATTTGCATAATTATTTACTGCAATGTAATAAATCATCAATGTTCTCAATAGCTTAAAAAAGATTAATGCAGTTTAATTATCACCAAACTGAGTGCACACAGTAGAATGCGTATACACTAGCAACTAGAGCGGGATCACCAAACCAACAGATAAAGTGACTTTTGGTCAATATCCACCAGTGGCTAGATTTGTCCTAGTGACTTAGGGATGAGCTTTTGTGGGTCTGGTCCTCAGCTGGCTAGCTATCCCGATTCACACTAGCCGAGGATCTGGCCTGCAGGCCCCTCACCACTTCCTTGAGTTATTCAGTGACCCTTAAGGGCTGCATTCTAGGAAGTTAATTATTATAATTAAGAGTATTTTAATGTTAACGCTATCAAATCTTCTCTTGACCCTCCTCTTAAAAGCTTAACTGACAGCAGTGGATTATTTCTTTTTGGGGGAAGAAAAATACACATGGAGGATAAAAATTGTATCTGTCAAATCATTAATATACAGGAGAGAGAACCAAATGAAACTAGTGGCTATAATGGCGATACAGCCACATTTTACATGGCGCACACTCCCTGTGCTGTGTGTAACTAATACTAGTGGAAGCGGAGTGCTATGCTCTCCTCACCAGGGCATTCACCCTAGGGCAATGCTTACGGTAGTCCAAGGTAACTGTGCTCATGTTGTTTGGATCCAGCTCTTCAAGATTAAGAAAGGCAGCTAAACGGCTTAAGGAAACCTTGGCCTGAAAGTTAAAAACACACAAACCAGTCAATGGATTTAAAATAGTAAATGGTTACAATTCAAGTGAATGCCCAGCTCAGGTCATTTCCCTGGCAATGGTATTGTCTGGGTGTTTGCAGTTTATTTGTGGAAAATTAAACTGACAGTTGAGCGTTCTAGGTGCTTTAAGAACAGGAGTACTTGTGGCACCTTAGAGACTAACAAATTTATTTGAGCATAAGCTTTCATGGGCTACAGCCCACTTCATCGGATGCATAGAATGGAACATATAGCAAGGAGATATATATATAATTACAGAGAACATGAAAAGGTGGGGGTTGTCCTACCCACTCTAAGAGGCTAATTAATAAAGATGAGCAATTATCAGCAGGAGAAAAAAAACAAAACTTTTGAAGTGATAATCAAGATGGCCCATTTCAGACACTTTGACAACAAGGTGTGAGGATACTTAACATGGGGAAATAGATTCAATGTGTGTAATGGCTCAGCCATTCCCAGTCTCTATTCAAACCTGAGTTGATGGTGTCTAATTTGCACATTAATTCAAGTTCAGCAGTTTCTCGTTGGAGTTTGTTTTTGAAGCTTTTTTGTTGCAAAATTGCCACCTTTAAGTCTGTTACTGAGTGACCCGAGAGGTTGAAGTGTTCTCCTACAGGTTTTTGAATGTTATGATTCCTGATGTCAGATTTGTGTCCATTTATTCTTTTTCGTAGAGATTGTCCGGTTTGGCCAATGTACATAGCAGAGGGACATTGCTGGCACATGATGGCATATATCACATTGGTAGATGTGCAGGTGAACGAGCCCCGATGGCGTGGCTAATGTGATTAGGTCCTATGATGGTGTCACTTGAATAGATATGTGGACAGAGTTGGCATCAGGCTTTGTTGCAAGGATAGGTTCCTGGGTTAGTGTTTTTGTTCTGTGGGGTGTGATTGCTGGTGAGTATTTGCTTCAAGTTGGGGGGCTGTCTGTAAGCGAGGACAACAATGGGCGTTGGTGCCCTTTCCCCATACCACTTGTCTTTGTTCCCATCCAGCTCCGCAATACCCAGTCGTTCCATGTCCTTTCTTCCTCTGGAAGGGTGCTCCTCTCTCTGTTCGGAGGTCTGCAGTTGGCCATCGTTTCCCAAATATGCCCCAGAATCCTTTTTCACTGGCTCTAATGCTCCTTCAATGAGGTGCAATGACAGTCATCTTGGGGGACAGGAGGGAAGCCCAGCTTCCCCACTTCTGCGAGAAGCAGCAGATGTTCCTCCTCGTCTCCCTGGCTTGGGTGAGCAGTGCTCACTCACAACTCCCCCTCTTCTCATGGGCTAGTGCTGAGAACCCTTCCCCTTCTGTCTCAGTCTGCTTTAATCACCCCGCTCGGCATAATGGAGCCTGGGACACGTCCGAGATCTAGTGGTGCCTTCTGCACAGGAATGAGCCAGAAATAAGAAAACATTTCTGAAGCAGGAGTTCGGAGCTCACCCTCTTCCCGGCTGGAGAAGCGTGGATTGGAATCGGCCCATTGCTGAGTCTGACCATCACAATGCTATTTCGTCAGACTCTGAGATGTGGCATCCTGGGAGTTATGGTCCCATCTTGCTATATGGGATAGGTGGCAGCCTACTTAACCTATCCCTAAGACTGCCCCTGATCTTAATACATCCTTGTTGTTCCATGTGAATGAACATAAACCCAAATCATTAACATTACATTTCATGATGACAGCCAAAACAGAGTGGAAAAAACTGCTCTTGCTAACCCGTTCAATACACTATGGAACATTGACTGCATAGCAGTACCCAGAAGGCTCCACGCATCTGGATGACTGCATGCCCACATGCGCCACGCCCCAATTCCCATGGCCTTCCCCACATGACCTAAGCTAGGAGTGTGCCGCTCCTTAAGAAATCCCTACTTTCACCTCGGACCAGTGCTGTGCAAAAGAAAGTAATGACCAAGCAAATGAGAACATAGCCTGCAACTAACCTGTATAGCGGCATTTATGGAATATGGCAGGAAAGAGTGAGCAGTGTTGAGAATGTTGATCAGGGTCAAAGAAACGAAGGCTTTCTGAGCATCTAGGACGTGCTGCTTGTCCACCAGGGTGTAGACCGCAAACATGGCAAATGCAATCTGCAAGGGAGCAAAGGGAAAGCAAACTAGTATTCACAGACCAGCAAAGCAGTGCTCAGATGGTGCGTCATTCTCCCAGGACTCGTTTTGTAAAACCTCAGTGGCATCCGCCACACCCATTTACGTTGTCCTGTGAGTTCTAGAAGCAAAGTTTTTATAATCTGGTGACAGTTCAGCCAATCTGATTGTGCCACTTATTGTGCTTTTGAGATTGTTGCAGCACTGCAAATACAGTGAGATAGTGACATGAACATTCCCCTCCAGAAGGCTATCCTAGATAATGTATGTTGCTGGGATGGGACAGCAGCAAAGGCAACAGTGCATTATAAAAAAATATTGAGGCCCTGATCCTGCAGTGAGCTTGGTGTGGGTGGACCCCTGGACTTGAACAGAGCCTCAGGCCCTTGTGGGCCCTGTGTGAGTGTAGGGATCTGCCTGCAGGGAACCCATTGCAGAATCAGGCAAATAGACGATTCATTTCTCTGGGCAGGCATCTGTCTATTGGATTTGTCTATAAAGCGCCATGCACAGCTATGGTGCTAAGGGAATAACAGGCTGTGTGCTGTAAAGGAGAGTGAACTGCTCACCAGAAATGTAGATGAGTGGAAGGAAGACAGAGACAGCGAGAAGAGGATCTGAGAGCTTTTCAAAGCTTGAAGCTCTTGCTTTCGGATACCGAGTACTTTCTCCATAAAGGCTTTCTCCCAGCCATAGAGTTTGATGATCTTAATGTCACTGAGGATGGCATTGGTGAGTCTTGCTCGGTTATCTTTATGGTTCATCTGGTCCTCCTAAAATAAAGGCCCATTGAGGCTGTCATTAGGAATGCTGAAAATGCCACTCTTCCGTCTTTGTGACCACCACCTTGAACCTGGCTGTAAATTCGGAATGGATCTCCGGGCCATTAAGTAACATGTGGGCCCTTTGCCTGTAGCTCTGTAAGGTTGGATATTTACTTTTGTAGCTTCAGGCAATTTAATTGTTTAGTAGTAGCAGAAAAACATTAAAATTTTGGTCTATGAACCTGCAAAATATAATCCTATTTAGAGAGCTCACACTAAATCTATAAGCAATCTTCAGAGGCTTTGAATGTCTGGGATCCTTTCAAACAGCAACAATCAGCATGGATAACAAACACTGAGCTATCACTTAGTCACATCTCAGTGCAATTACAATATACCTACATGTAATCACCTCTGTTTTGTTCCTTATCCTTGGGCTCCATGGGGTTCTTACTTGGGTGAGAATGATGGGATTTAATCTGTGATGCTAGATCTTGAATCCCAGAAATTCACATGTCAATGATAACATTTTGCAATTTTAGGAGGCAAAAAGTACCTGACAGTGACTTCTCTTCTTGGTGATCACGAAATTCAGAGGCAAAAGAATTAAAAATACAGCAATTGCAGTCAAGGCAGATGGTCCCAGGAGCTGCCAGGAGAGAAGAGGCGAGATTGCCGTAGAAACACAAGAAACATTGGTGAAATATTTGTAGAGATACTAGTTTTCCTGGTCACCTTGTTCTTTGCCTGTTTTCCCACTTGTGGCTTGTGTCTAACACCCTGTAGTGGGGTGGCTGCCCCACTCCGATAATTATAAGCCGGGGTTAAAAGCAGCCAAGCTAGGCTGATTGGGGAAGCAGCCACAGCTGGCCCTATAAAAGGGCTGTGAGCCAGGAGCTGAGGAGTCTCTCTCTCCAGCCCTGGAGGGAGAAGGGCTAGCTGTCTGAGAGGAAGGTACCTGAACTGGAGCAGTGCTGGGGAATAGGACAAGGGAACTGGGGAGCTCCAGCCTGGCAAAACCCCAGGCTGCAGGCTTTGTTGAAGGTCTACAGAGGTACTGGGGCTGCAGAGATACAGCCTGGGAATAGGCAAAGGCAGCAGGTCCTAACCCCTTTCCAATGATGAGTGGCCATTACAGACTGCAGACTGCCCCAGTGAGCGGGGGCTAGATGATAATTGGCAGTAGCCACTGAGGCAAGGTGGGTTTAGAGGGTTGGGGGTTCCCTAGGGAGGGGAGACCCAGAGCATGGGGGTACTGCTGGGGCAGAACCCCGAGGTAAAGGGCACCATGGTCCGGGAGGGACATGGGGCCAGCGGCAGGTGAGACACCGGCCTGCAGAGGGCGCGCCATATGCTGGAAAAGAGCAAATTCCCAGGACAACCAGCAGGAGGCACCGTGCTGGTGAGTCACGCTTCACTGCACAGCCCTTTGGGTAATCCTAGAACTTTCTTCCTCCTCTGCCTTCAGGAGTATTTTAATGAAGACACTGTGACCAATTCATCCTTCTGCCGCCTCAGCCTTCCATGAGAATTCTGGAGTGATCATGGGCCTTACTCAACTGTGCTGATGCAAAACACCCGAGTACTGAATTCACAGAGGCAAATCCTCCTCTCATATACCCCGGGGGAAGCCCATTGAAGCCAATGATGTGGGTGAAGATTTGGCCCAGTGATTTTATTTTCATAGACTGTCTCATAGGTGGTAATGTTTTTTATTTTGATGAATTATGTTTATTTCCCTGAAGGAACAAAACAAAGTCACGTCTGTGAGAGATCCAGAAACATGCTTGAGAACCAACACTTCATTGCTATTTCCTCTAGCAGCCTTTGGATGCATTAATGGAGACATCTAGTGGCTGGCTTAGGAAAGTCACATGGGCCAATACTGCAGGGTCTGGCTGGATTTAAATCAGCTAGCAAAGTGCAACAGCAAAGTTTTATTGCACTAGCTTTGGACCACTGGATATATGGGTGCAAATTTGATGTGAATGGTAAATTATAAAAGTTTGGCTCTCTTAGCATAGTGTTTAATGGATCTCTGCTCCTGTTACAAATCACCTCAGTGCGCTGGAGAGGCCAGCACTGGAATAATCACAGTGATGCATGCCTGGGGCAGAGGTAGGGTGGTAGAATTGGCACTATCGCAGTTTGCATTACTCCTGGCTCTAGCTGATTATACCAGTCTCTGATGTTCATGTGAGCACTAATTACTCCCAAATGAAGAGATGGACCAACATCTCTATATCAGTTACCTGCAAGTAACCCCCAAATACCTCCGCGTTCCCCCAGACAACTAGCAACACCATCTCCAGAAAGGCGGTGATGCTCAACATGACATACAGAAGTTGTTAATTCACTTTCTGGTGCTGTAATGCCCTTCCAGGTGCTAACAAGAGCATGGGCCATCCTAGTCAGCAAAGCGGGGTAATGCAAGTCTCTCAGGACCCCAGTCTTCAAAGCTGCCTGACTTTACAAACATGATCATCCCACCCCACAGGATGCATGATTTCATCTGGCAAAGAACCAAATAGGCTGAAACAGAAATGCTCATGATTCAAAACTGGGAGCTTTATTCTGCAGAAATATAATACACTCCTCATTAAATGTAGGGATGGAAAGGTCACTAGCATTATGTAGCTCATCTCAGTCTTGCACTAATTCAGGATCATTTATATCCTAACGTTGGCACGTAGTAAATCTAGTTTACCCAGTAAGCCTACAACGAACATTTCTCATAACAGTATCACAATGATCGCTCTCATCAAATTGCCTCACTGTCTCACTGACTTCATGGGAATCAGCCTTTAGGATAAAGTGTAGGAAAGTTCACATTGCAGGTCATACTCATTGTTATGTTTTAAGGCTGTGCCAAATAACTGAACACCAGAACCCTGAAAGTCAGAGAGCTGAAAACAGTTATAGTATTGATTGTGAAAGGGCAACATAGTTTTCTTCTAAATGGCACCACCGGAAGGAGAGAGCCCTTTTTTCCATGAGCAGGTTGTAAGAACAGTCGCATTCACTGTCTTTATCTAGGAGATCAGACTGAACACTGGAATCCACGAAATTAAGCCAAGAACTGTGTGTTGTGTGGGTGGAAGGATGAAGCAAAGCAAGGCATCCAGTGAAGAATAACAAACAACAATGAAAAGACACATTTAAATGTGTGGGGAAACTCATTTTTCCTTCTAATGAGTGTGTGTGTTTGTGTTTGCTTTATACCACAGAGCTCAAAGATGGATGGGAAAAGAGACAGATGGAAATATCAGGTTGTTCTGGGCAGCAAACTTCACACCTGACTCATGACAACTTATCTTTACCATTGATCTCATGAATAGGAACAGATAGATGTGACCATCTCTTACCTGCCACAGGAAGACAAAGCAGATGATGATCCGAATGGGAGCAAGCCAGGTCCCATTAAAATATATAATGAGATCCATTAACCTTTGCACATCGACACATACCAGATTGACAATTTCTCCTACAGCTGCTGCTCTCCTTGCTGCATTTGACATGACCAAGATCTGGGGGTGGGATGGGATGGGGGTGGGAGAAGCAAGAGCCCAAACAGTCAAAATCAGCTTCTGTTCAGAAAATAAATAACCAACATTCATGCTGAGGTCAAAGGGAAGAAGGATCAGGCTCATAAAGAGGCCAAGTCCTAGTCACTGTAATATCAAGAACGAAAACATCATTCAGGGTCATGTGACTTCACCCTGCAGATGAGTCTATTCATTGCCCAACAAGAAACGAAATAATGTCTAGCTTGCTCGGCAAAGCACACCTTTCACCCCCTGCTCTCCAGTCCTTTTTTTAGATGTAAGAGCTACTCCATGAATCTCACAACAGCAAACGGGACAATGCTTTCCCCAGATCTCATGGAGATTTATGTAGCTGCCCTTCACTTGCAGTGTAACCACAGAATTATTTGCTAAAAATAGCTCTTAACTATTATTCATATTTGGGGTAGTAGTTATTAAATACCATTGCATCAAAAACATTAGTGGTTGATAAGAAAAACAACTCCCCAAGGGAAAAGCTGGCTTACCTTCCTATACACTAGGCCTGTGACTGCAGTCTTCAGCCTCATTCCCAATACAAGACACACGTACATGTAACGTTGTTCAAACAGAGTCTGGAGGCAAGCTAATAGGAACAGTAACGTTGCATAGAAATAACCTTTCCAGTTTGGGGCTTCTCGGTCCATGATGAACTCCAGGAAAAGGCTGCAAGAGAACGTTGAGCGGATGGATACAAACTGAGATGACTAAATACATGTCCCTTACAGCAGGCAGTATTTTTAGAAAGGCCTAAACAGTGGGGATTTTTTGTCTTGTCGTTAGCAAGGCTACAGGCTTTGTAACCCTCACTGGCTGATATTTGTCAGTAAAACAATAGAAGGCTGGGCAAACAGCTCAGCATCCCAAGTATGTAAAATGGCAGCACCCAACCTAGTTTTTGTTTTATTTTACTGCAGCTCAGAACATTCAACTGCTCCTTCTCATGCTGGAGCAGAGATGTCCTAGCATAACACTTTCCCAGCACGGTATGGTGCAACTGCAGTGTAAAATGATCTACTGCATTTAGGGCTGTTGATTAATCGCAGTTAACTCATGCGATTAACTCAAAAAAATTAATCGCGATTAAAAAAATTAATTGTGATTAATCACAGTTTTAATCACACTGTTAAACAATAGAATCCCAATTGGAATTTATTAAATACTTTTGGATGTTTTTCTACATTTTCAAATATATTGACTTCAGTTACAAAACGGAATACAATGTGTACAGTGCTCACTTTATATTATTTTTTTATTACAAATATTTGCACTGTAAAAATGATAAACAAAAGAAACGTATTTTTAATTCACCTCATACAAGTACTGTAGTGCAATCTCTTTATCATGAAAGTGAAACTTACAAATATAGATTTTTTTTGTTACATAACTATACTCAAAAACAAAACAGTGTAATTCGTTAGCCTACAAGTCCACCCAGTCCTACTTCTTGTTCAGCCAACCACTAAGACAAACAAGTTTGTTTACATTTACAGGAGATAATGCTGCCCAGGGCCGCCCGGGGGGGCAATTTGCCCCAGGCCTCTGGCCCCACAGGCGCCCCCACGAAATTTTTCAGGGGCTCCCACGAGAGTGAAGGACCCGCTGCTGAAGACCCGGAGCTTCTTCCACTCCGGGTCTTCGGCAGCAATTCGGCGTCGGGGGCTCCTTCTGCTCCGGGACCCGCCGCCGAAGTGCCCCGAAGACCCGGAGCGGAAGGACCCCCGCCGCCGAAGGCCTCCTGAATCCTCTGGGCGGCCCTGATGCTGCCCGCTTCTTATTTACAATGTCACCTGAAAGTGAGAACAGGCGTTCACATGGCACTTTTGTAGCCAGCATTGCAAGGTATTTACATGCCAGATATGCTAAACATTCGTATGACCATTTATGCTTCGCCCACCATTCCAGAGGACATGCTTTCATGCTGATGACACTTGTTAAAAAAATAATGCATTAATTAAATTCGTGACTGAACTCCTTGGGGGAGAATTGTATGTCCCCTGCTCAGTTTTACCCGCATTCTGCCATATATTTCATGTTATAGCAGTCTCGGATGATGACCCAGCACATGTTGTTCATTTTAAGAACACTTTCACTGCAGATTTGACAAAACGCAAAGACGGTACCAATGTGAGATTTCTAAGGAAAGATACAGCACTCAATCCAAGGTTTAAGAATCTGAAGTGCCTTCCAAAATCTGAGAGGGACAAGGTGTGCAGCATGCTTTCAGAAGTCTTAAAAGAGCAACAATCCGATGCTGAAACTACAGAATTCGAACCACCAAAAAAGAAAATCCACCTTCTGCTGGTGGCATCTGACTCAGATGATGAAAATGAACATGCATTGGTCTGCACTGTTTTGAATCTTTATCAAGCAGAACCTGTCATAAGCATGGACGCAAGTGCTCTGGAATGGTAGTTGAAGCATGAAGGGACATATGAATCTTTAGTGCATCTGGCATGTAAATATCTTGCGACGCCGGCTACAGTAGTGCCATGTGAACACCTCTTCTCACTTTCAGGTGACGTAAACAAGAAGCGGGCAGCATTAACTGCGGCAAATGTAAACATGTTGTTTGTCTGTCTGACTGGCTGAACAAGAAGTAGGACTGAGTGGATTTGTAGGCTCTAAAGTTTTATATTGTTTTATTTTTGAATGCAGGTTTTTTTGTACATAATTCTACATGTGTAAGTTCAACTTTCATGATATAGAGTGCACTACAGTACTTGTAATGGAGGAATTGAAAAATACTATTTCTTTTGTTTTTTACAGTGCAAATATTTGTAGTAAGAAAAAATAGAAAGTGAGCACTGTACATTTTGCATTGTGTTGTAACTGAAATCAATATATTTGAAAATGTAGAAAACATCCAAAAATATTTAAATAAATGTTATTCTATTATTGTTCAACAGCGCGATTAATCGCACAATTAATCACAATAATTTTTTTTAATCGCTTGACAGCCCTAACTGCATTTCTTTTTGGGTTGCCTGAGTTGATTGGAAATATCAGAGAAATCAATGGCCACATTCATTGCTTATATATATATATATATATATATATATATATATATATATATATATAT